TCATGCTTTGAAAGAGTTAAACACCCATTTTATAAACATACAATATTTTTCTGTTCTTTTGTTCTTGCGCCCCGGGACCAGCTTGCGCTATCTTTTTGTAACATCCTGCATTTGCAAAACATAGCATTTTTACTAACACCTGCAATTTTTAATTGGTTTCATAATCTTATACTGTTACTTGCACTGTTTAGTAATTATGTGGCAAAGTGTTGCTACTGACTGTCTACATAAATGTCAGGCCCAAACTTGGGCCTATACATGTGTTCAGCATTTATGGTACAGCCTATTAATAATCTGTCTTATTTCACGGTCTGTCAATGCTTACATTGTTTTAGCCCTTTCTGGTCTCAGTACGGGCTTAGTTAATCGTACTTTAAAATTATTTGAGTCATAATTATGTCTGTTCTATGGTTATATGGCCGTATACATGGCCCTCATCTAAATGTTATAGTCACACTTCAATCAAGACATGCCATGAACCAGGTCTGCCACTTGGGTGTCATCAGTAAACACACGTAAAGGGACACTCCATTGCCCCAAAATAAAAAATAAATATATATATGTATTTTTAAACTGCTTATTAAATATACCCCAAATGAAAACAGGCATTCATTTTTGTAAAAAAAAAAAAATGTGGAGGGATTTTATTTACAAGTGTGTCTTAACAAGCCCTACAGAACCTCTAACACTACAGAACCTCTAACACATGGTACTGGGATATGAATCGACCATCACTAGCATTACATTAATGCATGTTAGTCTATGTTATTATAGCCTTTGCCGTTGTTTTTAACCCTATTCTTCTATCCCAATTATGTATGCATAAGTCTTAATCATCCCCCTAGACATTCCACAAGTGTGTCTTATAAACGTATGTATTATATATAAAAAAAAAAATAAGTTTACCATTTTACAAGCTAGACGTTTTATAAATGTATGTTTTATAAATTCTGTCTCCTCCTACGTCTAGTGTATGGCCATCAAACCAATTCAGCACTATTGCATTCTAGTAGTCTACACCTCATTCCAGTTGTAAATTCAGTTTTATACCCTCCGTTCAACTGGCTCAGCAAGTATGTATTGTATAACTTTTAACATGTATTTTCCTTACAACCTATATCTGATCTACCCATAAGACCCCCATTACTTTTATCACAGCCTCGTAGCCACCCTGCACCTCAGGACTTACATTGGGCCCCTTCTCGGCCTCATATACATAGTCCTTGCAAAAGGCCCTCAATGGGACTTTGAAACATCCGTTTCACGTGATCCTCAGTGGGCAACATACTATGTTCCTATTTAGCCCTTCAATGGGTTTTTCATTTGCATAATATCCACTTACAGGGGTTGCATACTACCCTACCCCACCACACTACACAATATTGATAAACTAATCATACCTTACCTTTCACTAGGTCATGCTCCTGGGGAAACTGCATTCTTCATCACGTACATTGTCTCTTCCCCATGTCAAACACTCTGGTTCAGCAGTATCTATTAGGTGGGGTCATCATCACCTACATAGGACACAGCCTAAATATACTCATATGTTGCAAACAATTGAGTGTCATCAATACTGTCCAGATCTTGATTCATGGAATACCTTTCAACATGGTGCTTACTTGACCTTCACTACATTTGTTTCACAAGGCCCTCTATGGGCAACCCAATACAACACAATTTTGATCTCTCATTTGGGCTTGAAATAAGTATACCTTCCTGCTTCATAAGGGTTATATATGTCTTATCTTACTTCGTTAAATTATACGCAAGGCCTACACCAACCCAACCTATATAGCCCTTCTCATCAGATAAGTTTTATGCTTACTCATATTATATTATATACATATTAAGCCACCTCGGTCTAGCACGGTATAAACAACGTTACATATGACACCTACATCTAGACACTTAATAATCAATCATGTTGATTATTTATATCATTATCTTTTGATCACAGCCACAGATGCCCCCCCATTATGTACAATGTTGCCACCCTGGTATTTATGACAATTCTCCCTACCACTACATATGGACCAGTTCAAACAACAAAGGCATCATTCTTGGCCTCTACCCAACTCTTACAACCTTGATATGTTTATTCCACATTTGTTCGTTCCATACATCCGTACCCATCATACAGCCCTATTTTTTCTATCCTGCAGCTCAGGACTTACATTGGGCCCTCTTGGCCTTTTGCTACGATACCTCTACACGTGGCCCTCACTAGGCCTCCACTCCTTATGGTTACATATGGCCCTTTTTGGGCAAACAAGTATGGTCCAATTTCTGCCCTCCATTTGAGTATTTACATACATTTTCCTGCTTACGAGGGAAAACTACAACCCTTTCATATCACATTCTATTATTCCACACTGCCTCACCAGGCCCACAAATGAATCCCTCATTATTAGAGTTGAGCGAACATTATGGTTTTTGGACCCCGGATCAGAAACACGGACGTATCAGTGTATGTTCGGGTTGGAGTTCGGTGTTCGGCGATTTAATGGCGCATTTTGAAAGGCTGCAGGGCAGCCAATCAACAAGCATTTGACTTGTGTGCCCTTAGAAGCCTACTAATGGCATGGCTGTTATTGGCCAGTGCAGCTCTAAATATAAGCTGGAGTCATGTAGCGCCGCACATCACATGAGCTCTTATTAGTGTAGGGAGAGGATGCTGCAGCTCTGAGGGACAGATTAGGAAAGAATTCTGGTGTTGAATCTGCAAACTACAGCAATTATTTTTGTGGGTGCTGTACTACATTTTTTGTACCCTGCCCTAAGCCCAGTGCCACAGAGAGTGCAGTGCACTTGCAACTGCATGTGTGCCAGGCACATTACTTTAATCCTGTTCTGGTAGCTCAGTGGGCAACATCTAGGCATTTTTAAATACTGCAATTTTTTTGGTGCTAAATAGTACATTTGCGTACTTCATTTCTTGCAGTCCAAAAAAAACCTTAAATATTACTGTTACATTGTTGGTTTAAAAAAAATCACACTTTTTTGTGCTAAATAGAACATTTGCGGCCTGCGGTGCACTTAATATCTGAGAGTCAAATAGAACCGTCAAATACTGCTGTGACATAGCAGGTTTAAAAATTCAAATTTTGTAGGTGCTAAATATTACATTTGGGGCCTGCACTTCCTATCTGAGAGTCAAATACAACCGTCAAATACTGTGGTTGCAGCACAGTTTTAAAAATTCAAATTTTTTAGGTGCTAAATAGTACATTTGAGGAGTGCACTTCATATCCGAGATTTAAATAGAACCGTCAAATACTGTGGTTACAGCGCTGTTTTAAAAATTCAAATTTTTTTGGGTGCTAAATAGTACATTTGGGGTGTGCACTTCATATCTGAGAGTCAAATAGAACCATCAAATACTATGGTTACAACGCAGTTTTAATACTGCTGTGAAATAGCAGTTTTAAAAATTAATTAATTAAAAATTAATTAATTTTGGGTGCTAAATAGTACATTTGCGGCCTGCGGTGCACTTCATATCTGAGAGTCAAATAGAACCATCAAATACTGTGGTTACAGAGCAGTTTTAAAAATTCAAATTTTTTTGGTGCTAAATAATACATTTGGGGTGTGCACTTCATATCTGGTGTATGTCTGCAACACTGGCTAGTTACCACTTCTCAAGAAAGTCTAAAGACTTTTAAAAAAAGTGAAAAATAAGTGTTATTGTGATCGCTTCATATACAGAAGCATTAATATACATTTCTATATTGTGTAAAGACTGTGGGGATATTTATGGGATGATAATATTGTACAGTTGAGAATTGCCCACTATTTCAATTCTCTTAGATCTTAGAGATCGTTATCATGTAAGTGAAATGTATTCCATACAAATAAAATCACAATTTGTTATAAAAATAGATATAATTTATTGTGACAAATAAAATAATAATATTAGGCAGCATGCATGATAATAATCAGTGAATCTTTAGTATAACATAAGTATGTAATACAATGGCAATATTAAAACAATCCAATGGCTTACAGCATCAACTGTCAAAACACGTGGTAAGATTCCAGTACTATGTAATTATCTGACTCCACTTGCAGAATGGAGTGTTATAACTACATATTCTTTAGTTAACTAAGATTTCTCAATTATTGAAATCTGACCGTTATTTATCCAGTCATATATCATGCTATTAGTAAATTTTTTATTAATTTAAATAAATTAACTAAAACCAGCATAATTACAAGTTATGTAGATGTTCTCATCAGATGAGTAGGTAGTCCCAGGAACTTGAATGAGAGTTGGTTGTATGGAGGTGTGTAAGAGAAAAGTGATGTTGGTTAGAAAGTAATAGTAAAATTCTAAGTATCTAGGAGTGTTTCTTGAGTTGAGTGTTAGTCCCAGAGTGTCCTGAATATCTGTCCTGGATCTCTCTGAATGTCCAAATCTGAATACCCAAACTCCTTCTCTCTTCCCTTTGTCCTAACTTTTAAACGGCCAGACTCTCTGTCCTTCACTAGTTGATAAGGCCAATAGGAAACTGTAGGTGTGTCTACGTTATCTAGTATTATATAGTTTTTGGTCAATAGAGGGTGTAATTGCCTAATTAAACTTTCCTATTCAGGAAAGAGTTAACTTTTCCTGATGATGATTTTGACGTCATTTGGCTTATCTAAAATGACTACCATAACTTAAGTTTGCTGTTAGTTCAAAGTGTTTGCCTCAGTCTTTGTGGCAACGACTTTGATCGTAATTTCTAAAATTGAAAGTTCTAAACTCAGTTTCACCCCTTACTTACAATGGGACCTTGTAAAATTTAGAGAGTAAAATGAATTACTTAGTCTTCTCTGTCACTAGTGTCTGTGTTTAAAATTATTTCTATTCCATTAACATTTAAACAGAGCATTCCATCCCCGTGCTTCATTGCTTATCATTTGGCTTGTTTACATAATGCATTCCTTAGCTCAGGCTAGTGGCTAGTTACAGAAAGGAAATACATTTTGTGTCTGTCTTGCCTGAAATCCAAAATGGATTTTCTTGCCCTCCAATAGATATTTGTTAAAGGATTTAAAGTGTACTCATTCCAATTACAGGACCTTGAAAGAGTCCTGTATTGTTATTTATCGTCATTACCACCCCGCATCGGGAGTGGGTAATTTGCACTCCTGCTGCCTTCCTTGGATGTGGTAGCCATTTCTCAGGCTTCCTCTCCGGAATCGAACCCTGATTCCCCGTTACCCGTGATCACCATGGTAGGCGCAGAAAGTAACATCGAAAGTTGATAGGGCAGAAATCCGAATGCTACGTCGCCAGGGGCGATATCACAGACAAGCGCACCCTCCTGTCCACAGCCAACGTGGACAAGCTCACATTTATTAAAATGAACCAGGCATGGATCCCACCAGACTTGTCTGTACCTTGTGCAGAAATGACATTTATACTGGCCCCACCCAGCCATTGTTATACTCAAGTGCACTTATTCTTTGTTTTCTTTATCCCAATATTTTAGGAGCTACCCCAATTAAAAATAAATAAATAAAAAAAACAAACAAACAAATATAAAACAGTGTTGGCTACCTCCTCCACCGCCTCTTCCACCTACACCGCCACGGTCCTCAACCTTCTACTACACATCCACCTCCTCCTCCTAGAGCAGGGTCCAAAAGCGGAGCAGCCATCCACTAGACAGTACGCATGCTACTGCCCACCGCACCCAGGAAGCGAGCACACCAAAGCCAGCTCCAAGGAGTTCCCTGGCGTGGCAGTTTGAACGAGGAGAACCCAGTCGATTCCTGTGGCACCGCCCGATAGGGAAACAGGAGATGGTGCAAGAATCTCTCTCTATCCTTGTGAGTCGCCGCAAAGGTACAGAGCATTTGCTTCAACATACCGTTGAAGCACTCACACAGGCCATTGGTCTGGGGGTGGTAAGGGGAGCTCAGGATTGGTTTAATGTGTACAATCTCCACAGTTGGTGGGTCATTTCGGCAGTAAACTGGGTGCGCTGGTCTGAGAGAATCTCCCAGGGAAAACCCATCCGGGAGAACACTCGCATCAAGGCTTCAGCCACAGTCTCTGCCCGAATATTGCTCAGGGTATCGAGTCACGTAGTCCACGATGGTCAGAATATACTTCTTCCCAGAGGGACTAGGCTTGGCTAGGGGACCTGTAATGTCGACAGCTACTCTGCCGGACGGATCTTCACTAACAGGTAGGTGATGGAGGGGGGCCCTGTGCCGGTCCCTTCTCTTCCCCACTCTCTGGCAGACATCTGGCAGTACGCTGTCCGGCTCCTGCCCAAATGCCCTGCCAAGCTAGCATGAGCTAGCTTCAGCAGCTCATACCAATAATTCTTGGGTCTGGGGCTGGCGGTCTCTCACCAGCCGTGTCATTGGGGAGCCCATTGAAAAAGTGCTCTAGCATGACAAGCTGGGTGATCTCCTCCGGGAACTTGGCTTGATGGGAGTTGAGCCAGTTCTGGGTGGCCCTTGTGATGAGGCATTCTCCACTCCGCATGGGAGTCCTTCTCCCCTTTCCGGGTCTCCCTAAACTTTCGGCGGTATTGCTCGGGGGTGACCGCATACCGGGCCAGGAGGATTTGTGTCATAAAAATAAAGATCTGCTCTTCTGGTACAGCCCGTTAAATATCCTTCCCCACTAGTTTGCTGGCCAGGATGGTGACCCAGTCACTGGGGTTCATGTCTTAGAGTAGGCACTGGCACTCAAAGTCTTGTAAAAAGTAATCGATGCCTTCATCTGCTTCCATGAACTCTTTGAAGGCATTGCATGGTAGCTTGTGGGCAAGGGTGGTTGGGCTTCCCGGCGCCCTCTCTGCTCCCTTCTTCCTTCATCTGGGTTCATGGAGGTCGCCCTCTGTCTAATGGCAAGGACATAGGTTTGCACCTCCAAATAGGTCCTGCTGACGATCTCCACTGAAGGTGGCTCTCGGTAATATGCCAGGCGCCGTTCCACCTCCTTGCACACTTCCTCTTCATCTCCGGCCCCTGGCTGGGGTTCGTTGCCTCACTGCGTGCCTGGTCGTCCTCCATGAGCGCAGCAGTAAATTCGGTCTTGTTACGCCCACCAGGCGTTATTCCTCTGGCTACACACAAGTCCTGCTCTGTAGGTCGCTTTAGAGCACTGTAGTCCATGGGTCTGTTGGTAGGGACATGGGATCCCACCGCTTGCCACCAATTGAAGCGGGACCTGGGTAACCGATGGTTATCTCTTTTGATTAGAATAGGTCAGACCCATTTCCCCAGTAAACGGATGGGACACAGTTCCAGGATACAACGTTTGGCAATCTTTATTTGGGTACAAAGCTTTGCCTCCTGTTGCCTCCTCATACGGTCAGCGTAACACCTTCACCACCAACTTCAGCACAGCCAAGAAGAAACAACAGCAGGCTGTTTTAAAAGTTATATGTTTGGGGGGAAAACCCCACCCCACGCAGGAGCCGTGGACAGGCATGGAACAACAGACTAATGAGTGGTTGTTGCCACTGAGCCTCAAGCCCAACATGGTGGTGTGCGATAATGGGCAAAATCTCGTAGCAGCTCGGGGCCTACCTGGTTTGATGCACATCCCTTGCCTGGCACATGTGGTGAATTTGGTGGTGCAGAAATTCCTGAAAAACTACCCAGATATATCAGAGCTGCTGCAGAAAGAGTGGGCCGTCTGTGCGCGCTTTTGGCGTTCTCACCCTGTTGCTGCTCGCCTGTCTGCGCTGCAGCGTAACTTCGGCCTTCCTGCTCACCGCCTCATATGCAACGTGCCCACAAGCTGGAGAGACTGTGCGAGCAGCAGCAGGCGATAGTGGAGTTTCAGCTGCAGCACACACGGGTCAGTCGCTCTGCGGAACAGCACCACTTCACCACCAATGAGTAGGCCTCCATGCGAGACCTGTGTGCCCAGTTGCACTGTTTTGAGTACTCCACCAACATGGCCAGTGCCGATGAAGCCGTTCTCAGCCTTACTATCCCGCTTCTATGTCTCCTTAAAAAAACACTTTTGGTGATGATGGAAGAGGATGTGGCACAGGAGGAAGAGGAGGAGGAAGAGGGGTCATTTCCACGGTTATCAGGCCAGTCATTCACAAGTGGCTCAGAGGGTGGGTTCCTGCACCAGCATAGGCCAGGTACACAATTGTCCAGCATCTCCACACTGTCCCATGGAAGCGTTCAGCTGTCCATCTCCCAAACACTGGAGAGAAAGAGGAAGTACCCCCCTACCCACCCGTGATCCCTGGCCCTGAATGCCAGCATTTCAAAATTCCTAGCCTTTGACATGCTGTCATTCCATTTGGTGGAGACGAACAGTTTTAAAAACCTGATGGCGTTATTGGACTGCAAGAAATGCACCGCAGGCCGCAAATGTTTATTTTTTTATATGTCCCAATATTTTGGGGGCTACCCCAATTAAAAAAACAAACAAAAAAAACAAATAAACAACAGTGTTGGCTACCTCCTCCTCCACCGCCACTTCCACCTACACAGCCACAGTCACCGCCTCCTTAACCTCCTACTCCACATCCACCTCCTCCTCCTAGTTCAAGATTATTATTTTTAATTTGTATGTATTTTGTTATTTTAAGTAATTTCCCTATCCACATTTGTTTGCAGGGTGCTTGTCCTACTCTTACCCGCATTTTACTTCCTTTTTGCAGCCATCTGGCCCTTTCCAGGACTTTTTTAGAGCCATTTTAGTGCCCAAAAGTTCGGGTCCCCATTGACTTCAATGGGGCTCGGGGTCAAGTTCGGGTCAAGTTAGAGCCCGAACTCAAACTTTTTGACAAAGTTCGGCCGAACTTGGCGAACCCGAACATCCAGGTGTCCGCTCAACTCTACTCATTATGCAATTATAGGTAATCAGACCTCTTCGATTTGTCTATTTTACTTAAATTAATATAACCCACACCTTCAGCTAAGGCCTTCAATTACACGTTAGTAAGCTAGAGATGTTGTGGTGTTTAATTATAGTGTTAAATTACTAAGGCTATTCTTTCTCACACATACTTCATGCCCTTCTAGTAGAAGGATGCACATGGGAACTCATATCTAGATTTAGTTCAATCAGGTATCTCTTTTCTTTACTCATTTTGTTTAGCCGAGGTATGTACTTATACATAAATTCCCCTATGTGGCGAAAGTAACTTCGCCACTTGTACTTGGAGAGGCCTGCTTGCCAGTCTCTTGCCTTGTTACTATGGCCCCTGGGATGTATTGCCCTTCAAAAGCATTATTTGGGCTTATTGGCTCTTAGAATACTCTTTCGGCCCCTTTTAATCCTATTGGAGCAGTTCTACAACTTTGAAGTGACACTTCGGATACAGCCAAAGTGCCGAAGTAGTCGAAGTGGCAGCCATTCGACAAACGAACACATGGTGGCGGCCATTTTGTTTAGTCGAACGCCGTTCAGCGGTGTTTGGTCATCGAGTTCATGGACAAGTGAAGGCACGAACACTGCTGAACTTTACCTTCTCCAGACTTCGACACTTCGACTGGAATCGAACGCCGTTTGACAATTCAAAGGGCACTTTAAATTTGACGATTTGCACGAATGGTTGCAGTTCGTCTATTTGAACTATATTTAACATGGGAAATAGACTGGCCATACAGCCTACTTCTCTGGAACTGTTTTGGGCATGAAAATGTGCGTGCGGTCGGTCAAATGTGACTTCCAGGAATTTCCTGAACCCCTGCTCTGATCTGGGGGATTTTTGGATACGTTGTTCATGGGGATGTGTTATGTTCTGGGGTGTTTTCTGGACTTTGGGGAAAATGTGTGTTTTTCTGCCTGTGGATAATTAGGTTATTGTATTAGCTATTTTAATTATATCTCAGACAGAAGGGAGGGCTTGTGTGCTGTATGTGGGAGTGTCGGACATTGTTGTATTGTTCTAATTGGTTTGTTTGCCTGTGTTCCATCCGGCCCAGGGGGTGTGCCTCTGGCCTAGAAAAACTGTATAAATTGTGAGTGCTTGCTTCCATTAAACAGACCTGCTTTACCCCTTCATACAGTCTTGGCTCATGTTTGGGGGATTGGAGAACGAAACTCTTGGGGATTGCTATAATCACACTATACTCCCCAGAATAAGCTCTTGTAAGAGCTTGTCCATGCTACGCTCACTGTAGGAAGAGAGGTCTGCCCACTGGAAGCTGGATCCTGGCCTTGGGTCCAGGGACGGCGAGACCCCGGCGCAGCTGCATCGCTGGAAGTGAGGTCTGCAGTGCTGATGGTGTCAGTTGGAGTGCTTGGAGTCCTCGCAAAGCACTATGAGCATCGATTGGCAGAGGTACTTGGTCGGAGTGCCAGCAGTCCATCACACCTTATTTTTCTAGGTTCCTACCATCTTTAATTATCAACCTGTTGCTGATGTCTTAATCCTTAACTACAACACAGATACATTATCTCAGTTAGCACTTGCATCATCCTGGACATA